GGTGGTCCAGCACAACAGTGGGCGGCAGTGCCACACTGATGGGCGGCATTGCTTCATCCTTGGCCGGCAGAACACATCCTTGGTCGGCAGCCACTATTCATGGCCGGCAGGCCACTGGTGCACTCCCCAGTATTGTTTTGGTAAGGTTCAGAACAGAGAGTTCTTCGAGACACCCTGCAAGCAGAGCCTCTCAAAAGCAAACCAGAGAGCTTTTCGAGACGACAACCGAGAGCATGCATCCTTCATTACTCAAGGCAGAGCTGAGGCAGTCTAGCTTACATGTTTTGCATGCTTAGTTGGTTTTGTAACTTAATTAATTTGTTAATTAGTTAAAGTGTTGTAATAATTAGTCTAATTAGTTTAATTAGATTAGTTAGATTAACTTAGCTTAGTGTAGCTTAGCTTATTTATTCGGACCCTCTTTCGCGAGGGCGTATTGTTGTAATAAGTGTGCGTGTGTGTGTGCATGTCTTTCAACCCCACTTCTTTCTCCCTTTTACTTAACCGCTTTCAATGGTTAGTTTTAGGGCACGTTTCAATTAGCATACCTTATGCTTGCATGTTTGCATCATTCATTTGTGCTGCATGCACCGGGCTCGGCGCATCATTCAAACTGCATCGTATTTCAATACCTATTTGAATACGTGTATCAATTGTTGCATTCATATGCCATCTTAGATAGCCGAGCCTATTTAGTTGCATTACTGCATGTGTTGCATTAGGCACTCTGTATAGTTAGGATCATGCATATTTCTAACTAATTTTCTGTTTTGGCTCGGAGTACACTGTGAGTGTGAGTGTTGCCATGATAGCATGCTTGCCATAAGGCTATTTGCTTAAGTGCTTAACTGCTTGAATGCCTGTGGGTGGAGGCTTGATTGCCTGAATTGGAACAATTTGATGATTGTGAGTTTTAAGCCCACTTTGCAAAGTGGCAAAATCATGTCTTTAAGCCCACTTGAGGGTGGCAAATATGCGCTTTAGACTACTTGCGAGTAGCAATTTCAAACCATTTTCAAAAACAAATATGAGTTGTTTTGTTCCAATTCTTGTGATTGAGTCTATACTTGTATGCTGTGCGTATCACATAGTAAGTAGGCTAATAACCGGAATAAGAACACATGTGTTTATCAAACAACATATCATGGTAGTAGAGGCCGATCCTTTGATCGGGCGAGCGGGGGTGCTTATTTTAGGACCTTCCCCTCTCGTACCCAAGTTCCCGAGTCGAGACAACTTTGGTGATGACGGACACGTGGCCTTCGGCACGAGTTAGGGTTTCCTAAATTTCTCAAAAATAAAATATTTAGGTGGCGACTCTGTAATCTGGCAAAGTAGTCCATGTTTGGCGCTTTTTTATTGAAAATCGATTTTCAAAAACGATTTGCTGGATTTGGACTCTTTGGTGTTTATCAGTCTCACATTACACTTTGTGAGATTAGATTCAGAACCGTAATAGGAATCCGAACTGTAGTCAGATCAATTCGGGCCCTCTCTAAAAGGGGGGCGTGCGAAGAAAGTCGGGTCTACAGTTTCTATAATAACCTTGTTGTTCATCAATCGGAATAGCATTCTGATGCTAAATTCAGTAACAACTTACAAGATATATAATGCACAAATAACTTGAATACACAAATTCATACATATCTCTGACCCATGAAATGTCTACTTTTATATAAGAGTGTGTTTTTTCCATGTCAATCACATTCTTTTTAAGAATAATACACACACACATACTTACTCTCTCTCTCTCTCTCCCTCCCTCCCTCCTAGTAGAGCTAGTATTAACCTCTTAGAAGAGTTCTAAACACACTGAACTTAGGATTCATTCATTCACTAGGGCACATGTCCTTCACCAAATATTTCGGCGTAGGCATGAATTGTTTCCACACCTCGACCAGCCGCATTCTGCCACGTGGCACCTCGACCCGAGGTCATACCAAATGGACATGTAAAAAATTATGCCCTATACTACCCATAAAAACATCCATTTTCCAACTTCTTAATGATTAACTTTTTTTCAATCTTATAAGCTATAAAAAAAAAGTTGTACTAAACACTAACATAAATTTGTAATTTTTTTTTTATTATAAGCAACTCTATAAACTGCACCCGATAGTACGTGTGAGCATAGTTCTGTATGATTGGGTTAAGAAGTCAATCAATTACCAAACCTAAGGCTGTGCAAAATACTGCCCAATATACACTGATTTGTCTAGTTGTCGCGAGTTGATTTGATCTGTGATTTAAAGTTTATAATCTGCATTTGAAACTGTCCCGCCCGCCATAGTTAATACACACACACATATATATAAATTCCAACAAAATATCAAAATAAAAATAGTGTGAGAGAGATCTTAGATGTGGAATTTAGTGCAAATTAGTGTTATATGTTATGAAAAATATTATGTAAAATTAGTTAGTGTTACATATATAAAAAATATTATGCAAATTAGTGTTATACATCATGCAACTACTTAGGCCTCGTTTGGGAATAAGCTATTTTAGTAATTTTTTTGATTTTTTAGTTAAAATATGAGGTAAAAAAAATTAATATGTTTGGAATGATTTTTTGATTTTTTACAAAAAAAAGTGCAAAAAATAGAGAGAAAAGGGAATATTTGATTTTTTGGTATAGTTTATGGGCTTTTTGATTTTTTTGGTAACTTTATAGCTTTTAGGCTAAAACTATTACATGACAAACGAGGTCTTAATAATTGTTTAAGTTTATTCTTCAATCAACTAATAGGTTGAAACCGTTCAAATTGTCAGACTGTGGCTTGGTTACGAATAACAAATTTGTCAACATGTCATCCACAGTTTAGTTTTAATTTTATCCTCAAATCATATCATACTGCACCGCTAACCAAACCATTATCCATATTAAATTTAGAAACAAATCAAACCATAATTTTGTAATTTACCCTTAATTTTTCAGGGTAATTACCAATTAGCCCCATTAAGGAGACTTAAGCCTCATTTGGAAAGTAATAGTTTCAGCTTAAAAGTCAAAAAATTACTAAAAAAATCAAAAAGTCTATAACCTATACAAAACAGTCAAAGATTCTCTTTTTTTTTCTACTTTTTACACATCTTTTCGTAAAAAATCAAAAAGTTATTTCAAGCGTATAAGTTTTTATTTTAATTCATACTTTAGCCAAAAAATCAAAAATTACTAAAATAGTCTGTTCCCAAATGAGGCCTTAAGTACTATTAAGTCTTATTGGCTTTTTAATGCACTAATAAGTCTTACCCTCATTAAATTACATATCAAGTTATTTTATCTTGTATTCTCTTCTCTCTATATTTCTCCACTATTTTTTCAAAAGTTTCACAGCACCATTGTCTACCACGCCATCACGATCCCTGTCCACCCTTCACCACCGTAGCCGTTTACCCACTACTACCACCACCGTTGTCGTCCAACCCACCACCACCACTGTCATCGTCGTCTACCCACCACCTCTATTGTCGTATATTGCATCACCATCGTCGTAAATTTACATTCTATCAATGTGGATTTATACTCCACCATCGTCGATCTACATAACTACTGATCAACCACCTCTTTTGTTTCATATGCAGGTTTATTTAGTGATAAATTTATCAATTTTTTTATTCTTTATTTATGTGAAAGATAATGATGAATTCTTATAAATGAGTAAATGAATATGAATAAAAATAAGAGAGATGCACCAATAAATCCCAAATTCCAATCTTTTGATTCATTTAGTTCTAACTTTAATCTTATGAACCAATAAGTCCCACCCCAGTATTAAAGACCAATTGGCATAACGTAAGTGATATTAACGTCGGCAAAACAAACACGCAAAACAATAATCCACACCGACAGTTACCACTCACAAAACAACACAATCCCCCCAACACACCCAAAACACCCAGCCACACACACCACTAAACAAAATAAAAAAATAAATCCCACACACCAACAATCAAATTACTCACCTGTTACACTATAATAGCCGTAACAACGCCTGAATCAGTCACTTAGGAAAACAAAAAACGGAACTAATGAGAACAATGTTAAACAAGAAGAACAACACACTCTCACCCTTAAACAAAAAGAACAATACACTCCCCCAACAACACACTCTCACCCCTAAACAAAAAGAACAACACACTCTTCTCCCAAAACAATGAGAACAATGTTAAACAATTCAAAAACGGAATCCCGAAGATAACATTTCCTTATCTCCATCCGAAACTGAATTAGTCAATTAAGAAAACAAAATCAAGGGTACACATGTAAAAAAAAAATCAAAAAAAATAAGACTAATTAGTGTACAAGAAAACTCTTAGGACCAAATAATTTAACTTTTCTTTATTTAGAATTTATTAATAATTTTTACTAAAAATGATAAATATTAAAATTTATAAATAAATAAATTTAATTAATAGAATCGCCGGTGAGAATAATTTTTCCTACCGACGTGTCTTGACATATTTTTCTCCCAAAAATGTGCAAATCTTCAAATGCATTCTTCAGCCTTATTGGGCCCATAGCGGGTCACACACACACCAACAAGCCGCCTAACATAAACAAATCCTCTCTCCTCTCTCAAATTTTGGGGAGGAGAGTATTCCAGAGATAGATAGGATAGGCTTGTGTGAAAATATCTATCAGGAATTCACAAGTCATCCGAATTTTCCTCACTGGTGTGCCAAAACATCTCTAACCACTACACATTGATCAGTCATTTCAAAGTCATACCATCATTATCACTCTCACTCTCTCTCTCTCTCTCTCTCTACCCTCTTGCTTACCATTGCTATATCTATCTCTATATTGACATCTTCTACTCCTGTCTATATCTACGCGTTCTGTAACTGCTCTTTCTGTCAAGAAACTTCAAAAGTCTTCTGGGTTATTGTTATTTTTTTTGTAAAGATTGAGACCCTCTTGGTTCTTTTCTCTCATTTGGCTCTCATCATCTGAAAAACATTTTAAAGACGCCCAATTGGGCATGTAAGTACAATACCCTTTCCATATCAGTTTTATTTGGATGTAGTTGTCTTACTTGATTACTACTATTTATGTCAAACGATCATCTGGGTTTTTTATTTATTTTTTATTTTATTTATTTCTTGATTTGATTTGATTTGATCTTGGTATTTGGAACACTGTATGTTTCTTGGGTTTTATTTTATTCTGGGCTTGATTTTGTTTATGAAATTTGGATTGTAGATCGTTGTTAATTTGGGTTTCTTGGCGTCAGTTTACTCTAAATATGGCTTTTTGTACGCTGATTTGATTTGAATTGTAGCAACACTCGATCAATCTCTTTGTTTGATTGCCTTCGAAAGCGGATATTTTAAAAGACAGAAAAAGGAGGAGGAAATTTTTAGAATTGAGAAATGACTTGAACTAAGAGCTTTTTTTTTTTTTTTTTGGGTGCTTATTTTAGTTTTAATTTTTATTTTCCTACAGTATCAGTAATTAAACAGGGATTGGGGCCTGTGAATTTCCTTTATTATGTCATATGGCCTCATACTGGGGGCATCAATTCTTCTTGTAGTTGGGAATTTGGGGTTATTTGGGTGGGAATTCTATTTGCACACCACAAAAAATCTCAGTATACACCGTGATAAACTTCCGAACAATTGAACAAAATGAATTGTTCAGATATATATTCCACTCAATTGTTTATTTTCAAACAACTGTATTTTGTTTGGAAATTTATATCCGAACATTTGATTTTTTGTTTGGAAGTTTATATTTGAATGACATAAATGGTGTATTGAGATTTTCTGTGGTGTATGAATAAAATTAAGCTCTTCGGGTGGAGTTTACTTTATGTGAACGGACAAAAATGCCCTTGTGTGATTTACTGATTGATCTCAAACAAGGGTTGTGGCTAGGGGCGGATGCAGAGCCTAAGAAGCACTGACACTAAGAAGGTAACGAGTTCATGTCGAATACCGACATTCATCGGACATGTGTTCAATACATTTTTTTTTGTGTGTCCATAATTAAGAATAAAAATCATCACCATTAGATTTTGGAGGCGAGGCATATTTATAATGGGCTCTGTGAAAATTTTGGAGGAGTTTGGAGAGGCCAAGGCCATCCGTGCCCCCTCCCTTCGCCCCTGGTTGTAGTTGTAGTCACGAAGATGGTTGAGATATAATCTAATTACAAATTGTGGTTTGCAATGTCGTTATTTATGATTGTGAATTTTAGAACTTACAAACTTTTAAGTGATTCCAATTTTGTTTGCTGAAAAAATGGAGCACTAACTAGTGTTGTACACTGGTAATGTAAAAATTCATGAAGTTTTGCAGCAAGAATATGTTATTCTTGTTACATGTTAACTTTTTTTTTTTTTTTTTTTCCCTGTGGTCTGGTGGTGGGGACGTTGTTTAAATGACTTGTGATTATGAATGTCCTTTAGCTCCAGCTAGAGATGGGTATATACCTTAGTACTCCCAAAACTGAAAAGTTCTCTGAAGATGGTGAGAATGGTTGTCTCAGATATGGCTTATCATCAATGCAAGGTTGGCGGGCTACCATGGAAGATGCTGTGAGTGGCAAAATCTATCTCCAATCTTTATCGGTCAAATACATTCCTTTTGCACTATTGGCCATTTAAATTTGTTATGTGAAAGTTTAATTGTCTTCTTCTTTTTTATTTATCTAATTTATGTAGTGGACTAAGTTGAATTTCTATTATTTTTTTGTTTTGCAACTGGACTAAGTTCAATTTCAGGAAATGTGGCTGTGAAATTGTATTTTCTGTTGGATAAGCTTTATTAATTTTTTCTAGCTGGGGTAGTGATAAATTGTTTACTTTTGCATAACATTGAAGCTCTAAATGTTGGTTTTGTTTGGTTACAAATCATGTTGTGAAATATCAAGATAAGTAGCTCTCTTATAGATGGATCTATATGATTATGTATTTATATTGAGGAAACCCCTTGTGAAAATGAATTAGGTTTTTAGAACTAGTTTTAGCCAAGGATTTTGAGGACTATATTGTAATATTGCAAAATTTTGTTGAAATTTGAGATGCATTACATGGAATCTTCTATGTTTATATATTTTGGAAGAAGGGCTTATATAAATAGTGATGATGTGCGTCGAACTCTCCAATAATTCAATATTGGTCTTTCTTCCAAGTGTCATACTATTATGTTTAGCAAGGCTTCTTTATGGTTGCCACGATTTGATGTGGACTAATATTTTTAGTAGTCATTATCGGTAAATTCCCATTTATGGGTGTCATTTGAAAATACCATCACTTAGATTTTACACTTCATTGTCTCTTATAGTTATAATTGGTTGCTTATCTCGTGCTTTTTAATTTTGTTAGCATACCTCATATCTTGATCTGGACACTTCCACATCATTCTTTGGTGTTTATGATGGCCATGGAGGTAAGAGTCAAAGGTTCTATTCTACAGTTTTATTTTTAATGGAGAATGTATTTTTATAGGGAGATAGTTTGATTAATTTACTTAGATCAAAGTAACAATGTCATTTGTTACTTACTGCGACAAATATTATGTGAATAAGCTTTTGCTAGCAGTTTATATTTGTTTTTTTTTTTTTCGTTCTCATTCATATTCTTGTGGCAGTTGAATCCTTTGTTATGTGCCTTTTATGTAAATTTATTCTTTAGCTATTCGTATCTTTTTAGGGGAAAATACCCTTGTAACAAATTAGACCTTATGTTTTTAATTATTTTCAATTTAAACCTTGATCATTCAACTAATTGACAATTCCAAACCTCTGTTCATCTCTGTTTATCTTGTCTAAAGGGGAATTTTTATATAGTGTATGTGGTAGTGGCACTTTCTCACTCGTTCTTCGAATTTGATGTTAATTTAACTTTGAATTTGACCACTCTAGATCACCGTCACTCTTTATCAACCATCCATAGATGAAAACCATTTATCATCCACACACTACCATGAACTCGACCGCATGGGATCAAGTTCATTCTCTCTCTCTTCCACAACTCATCCTCTCTCCCCATTCCTTCACCAGCTCACCTTCCTTCACCAAGGCAATCACTTAGGAATGGCAACGGGCCGGGGCGGGGCGGGGCTGGGAATGGCACTCCCCGTCCCCGATCCCCGAAGGTAACCGGCCCCGGCCCCGATCTCCGACGGAGAACCCATCACCTCCCCCGCCCCCGCCCCCTAACGGAGATCGGGTTTCCCCGACCCCGAAAAGTCCCCGACAGATCTGTTCGACACACACAAGAACAACAATCATCAACCTAAAATATCCTAAAATTGGACCAAAAAATAATCATCATCCTAAAATTGAACAACAATCATCATCCTAAAATATCCTAACAATCATCAACAATCATCAACTGAAGAAAAACTTTAAATTTTTGTGAAATATCCTTTGTTTCAAAACTTGAACCCAAAATAAGAGAGCTATTCTCGCAAGGAAGAACAATACTTACATGATCTATTCTCTCATGGGTTATCAAGAACACATATTGCATACAATACATGATAAGAAAATGGAGAGAGAGAGATGAGTTCACGATCTGTTCAGATCTATTCACGATATGTTAAGGCTTCTTTGTGGCGTCGTTGCTGGAGTTCGTCAATGGTGATGACGTGGCGAAACCCTAATCCTCCAACAATGGCAGCGGAGTCGAAGCCACCTGGTGCGGGGCTAGAATTGAAGCCACAAGCTCTACAAACGGCACTGGACTCTGCGTGCTGCGCTGAAGCAAACGCGAGGATGGTGGTGAGGTGAACCATGAGAGAGAGAGAGAGAGAGAGACTCGGTTTGAGACACAGAAGTGAAATGAGAGTCGGTTTGAGACTCAAGTGAAATGAGAGTTCTTTTATATATATATATATAGAGGGGTAAACTAGTAATTTCACTTCGGGGACAAACGGGGACGGGCCGGGGACGGGGTTGAGACACTTATTCCCGTCGCCGGCCCGAAACTGATCGGGGATTAATTTTTGAATACCATTTTTGCCCCATTGGGGATATTTTTCGGGGAAAAATCACTCAAATCGGGGTCGGGGGATCAGGTCCCCGTCGGGCCGGGTTCAAATTGCCATCCCTACAATCACTATTGCTTCTCCCACTCTCCTTTCCCCGCTAACCACTATTGCTCCTCTTTACCCCCATCACAACTGTTCTTCATCACCCTTCTCTTCCCCATTGTCCGCCATGGGTTCCTCTCCTCCCCCACTGTTCTTTGTTCCCCTCCCCTTCTTTGTCGGCTGCCACTGATCTTTCCTCTCTCCATCTCCCACTGCCACTGCTCTTCTTCTCCCTCCCCTTCCTCGCTGGCCGCCATTGATACCTCCCCTCCCCCATTGCCACTGCTTCTCCTCCCCCCCTTTCTCACCAGCTGCCACTGATCCCTCCCCTCCACCTCCACTTCCACTGTTTCACTGAAACCTTGAAGCAAGCTCACTCTCATTTGAAGAAACATTTGCTTCACTCTCATTTGAAGAAACATGACTAGTAGCATTGCAGTATTACAGCTTCCCTTGTATCCTAGCTCTTGATTACCTTAATAACGCCTCAATCCTAATCTTCCAATAATATTGAAAGCTCACATGGCCATTTTAAAATGACTAGGAGCATAACTACTATTTATAAACTAACATAAAACACAAAATACCCCAGAAAAAAAAAGAAGAAGATAAATAGAAACTAAAGCTATCTAGAACATGAACATAGCCTACTATGGGCCCACTTGGTTGGTAAGCCTTTTAGATGCTCCTGCACCACTATATTGTATAGTACATAATGTTGGGTGATTAACAAACAACATATTTAAAAAGTGAGTGTAGCTGAGATGAAAATATTGAGATGGATGAGTGGTGTTACAAGAAAAAATAGAATAAGAATTGGTTGCATTAGGAAGAAGTTTGAAGTTGTACCAATTGAAGATAAAATGGGGGATAGTCCTTTGAGATGGTATAGTCATGTGTAACATGTACCAATTAATGCATGTGTAAATAGGACAGTAAGACAAACCAAGCTACTTGAGTTGAACTTGTGTTTAGTCTCATTGAAAACTCGTTTGAGATTAGCTCTTTATGCAAAACAGTTAACCTTGAATACATTTTTGAAGTTCATTAATTTTCTGAGCTCGGGTCGAACCAACTCAATAAAGCTTATATGGGCCATTGAATTGTATAAAAACCTAAGCTACTTGAGCTTGGCTCCACTTAAGCTTGTTTGAAATGTTTAATAGATTGCAAATGCTATATTCTAGAAGATTTATTAGTTGATGTGTTATCGTGTTGGAAAATCTATGCGTTAACAGATTTTAGTTTCACAGACACATAATCACAATACTGCATTTCCTGGTTAAGTATTCTTTACGTCATTTTTTATTCTGTTTTAAAGGTTAAGATGGCCTTTTAAGTGCACCCCTATAGCATGAAGTTTGAAAAATTCTAGCATGAATGAACTCTTTTTGTTTATTCAATGTATAGTTTATTGATCTCTCCTGAATCTTATAAATTTCAGGTAAGGTTGTTGCTAAGTTTTGTGCGAAGTTTCTTCATCAAGAAGTGCTCAAGCATGAAGCATATCTAGCTGGAGATGTAGGAACCTCAGTTCACAAAGCTTTTTTCAGGTTATTTACTTGAAACTTGAGTTAATCCTAAATCAAGAACAATTGAGCCAAAAGCTTAAAGTTTCTTGCTCTCAAACCAGTGGCTTCCACTATTCTAGCATTTACCATAATTCCAAAGCCAGGATGCTGCTGGACACTAACGCTGTATTTGGTTGGGGGATTTGGGAAGGGATTTGGAAAGGGAAAAGGAAAAGTTAGGTGAAATGAGAATAAAATATACCCACATTGCACCTAGTTTCACACATCTTTTTTATTTTATTTTCCAAATTCCTTCCCAAATCTCCCAACCAGACACAGCGTAAACTTGAAACAGCACAGTGAAGTAGTACAAGAAATTGGGGAAGAGATTGGAATGAAAAGAGAAGAGAGAATGAACAGGGAAAATGCCATATCTTCAATAATCTATTGTGCTAATATCAAATGTAATAGTTCAATACGTTCTACTCATATATAGTAGGCATAGACCTTGTCTAATAAGGAAACCACATAACAAATTCAACTTCCTAAAAATTAAATACTTTCCTCGTCTGATGCTTTTCATTCCCTATCACAGGACCTTCAGATCAAATACATGAGTGAAACTTGTGTAAATGAGAAAGTTCTATTGTTGCTGTGATTAATATTTGTCAGCTCTGCTATCCTTAATCCATTTTATTCAGTTCCAATGAATGTTATTGTCTAACTTGGTGCTGCAGAATGGATGAGATGATGCGTGGACAAAGAGGGTGGAGGGAGTTAGCTGTCCTGGGAGATAAAATAAACAAGTTTACTGGCATGATTGAGGGTTTGATATGGTCTCCTAGAGGTGGTGAGGGGAATGACCATATGGATGATTGGGCTTTTGAGGAGGTACTTGCTTGCTCCCACTAAATTAAGATACTAGAACTTCTCATTCATATATTGGCTCCATGCTGGTCTGCTCAAATCCATTTTTTACTTGTAAGTTTGGTATGGGGATTCTTTCGATCAAAGTCGAAACTTAGAAACATGGAGGTGCAAATTGATCCCTATGGTTTTGTGACATTGCACATTGATTCCCACTTATGTTTGGTGAATCTAGAAATAGAAGTAGTTCATGAATTAGTGAACCTGGAAACAGTAATAGTTCATGTAAATATGTGGAGTTTTTTTTGTCCTCAAATAAATAATTCTTTTTCAAGACTACCTGGAATTTTTATTTTTAATTAGAGTTGAAAAAACTTTATGTTGAAAGTACCCATTTGCATTATATAGTCTGTTCCTTAAACAAATGGATCTTTGATTGTGAGAGACTGAGAGCATTATTCATCAGCATTAATGCATCATGTAATGGTGCTTTCTCCTCTCTCCCTTCCTTGCCACCTCGGTACACTGACACAAAATAGAGGCCTAGTCTGTGCGTATTCGGATGGATACTCTTTCCGTTCTCTCTACCCCGTACAAACATATGCTTGCATCCGCCTACAATTGTATGTGTGCTTTAATCAATGCATGTTGTAATGCACTATGCCACCCCCTGCATCTGTACCTTCACATTACATAGCATAATATGCAGTAGAATGTGTTAAGTTATTTTGATTAGCAGGTGAGCTTACCCAAGTCAAATTCATTAAATTGGTTGTATATATTAAACTATGTTGTACGGTAATTTAATCCTTCTTTTCATATATTAAACTATTCTAAAGAGTTGTTCTGTGAGGCAAAGATTTTGTATTTGGTTTATTTTATATTTGTTGCATCACAGATTCTTGTGTTTGCTGTTAATAAATTTTTGTGAATTGATTATTGTGCATGTTGTCTTTTCATTACCATATCAGATCATTGGCTTCCTTTCTATGTTTTCTATGTACACGGTTGGCAAATGCTTGGTGCCTTTCTTTTTATAACATTGACTAGTAAAATAAATAAAAAAAAGAAGTAATTACATCATTAGGTTCTTTTTTTTTTTTTTGTTTTTTAATCAACAACAAAAGCTTTATTGATAAATCAAAAAAGGAAAAGAGAATAGGGCATCCTCTTACAACAGGACAATGAGAATACAAACATAAAAAGAACCCCTAACAAGCTAAACACGGGCAGAAGCCTACATAACACACACTGCCAATCAATCTCTAGCTAACCAAAAAAGTGGAACTCCCTTAAATAAAGAGTTCCCCGACACCCAAAAAGAAGATAAGTGACAAGCATGATCCCACAAACAGCCCACCTCCCGGAACTTCTCTTCAAACAACCTCTGATTTCACTCCATCCATAGAACCCAAAAAATTGCAACATCATTAGGTTCTTATGAATTCCAGATAAGTTTATTTGATCTATAGTTGAATTCTTTCTTTATTTGATCATTATTTTCTTATGAATTCTGGAGAACTTTGAAGGTCAATTGTTTTATAGAACAAATTACTTTGAAGATCAAATCGTTAGTTTCTTTCTTTTTGTGTGCGCGTTCGTCTGGAGAACTGCGTAATTACTATCATCATTTGAAACTTGTCCATGACTTTCTTTTTTAGGCAAGATTTCATGGTATTGTGTTGCATGTAATTATAGTCAGTTATATACCTATTGGAGACTCGCCAGAACATATGTACGACATTACATTACAATTTACATGCTTTGTTTTTAGCTACTTCAAACCTGTTTTTTTTTTTTTCCCTTGTGAATTTGATTATGTTTTGTGAACACTTGCCTGATGAGTTTTCATTTTTGTACTCTCTTTTTTTCCTTCTTGCACTGTATCCTTGTGACTCATTTACTCCAATTATTGCTTTTAGGGGCCCCATTCTGATTTTTCTGGACCAACTTCTGGGTGCACAGCTTGTGTTGCTATTATTAGAAACAACCAACTTATTGTTGCCAACGCCGGTGATTCTCGTTGTGTAATATCAAGGAAGGGCCAGGTAATGTACAATTGAAGAGGACCTGTCATTTTATATTTCTGCAGATGGTTCAAAAAGGGAATTATTTACGCGCTTAGATGGATGTTCTCTGTAGCTGAACTTTTGTCTTGTGCATCATGGGCAGTCCAACACTTCAATTTGACTTGTAGTGGATAGAAAGTCCATGGTATTTTTAAATCTTGTAGATGTAGAACATGGTCGTTATGGGTAATATATTGATGAAATACATGTTTATGTTCCTCATTGTGGCTCCTTTTAAGCAGGCATACAATCTTTCTAGAGATCACAAACCCGACCTTGAGGGTGAAAGAGAAAGGATCTTGAAAGCTGGTGGTTTTATCCATGCAGGACGAGTTAATGGCAGTTTAAATCTTGCAAGAGCTATAGGTACTATACTAGCCTGCTTCCTTTCTTTCGGTTTCCATTTTCCCAAGCTGAGTGAGAGAGAGATTCTTGTAGCTCTGCTTTTTCCTCTTTTCATAGTTGTACTTATTTGATGATTTTAATCTCATTGATAGGTATAATAGAGAGAGCTTGAAATCTTTTTTCCTTTCTTGGATAACTCAAGTGCTTGATATCTAATTTCTATTTTATTGTAGGTGACATGGAGTTTAAGCAGAATAAGTTTTTGCCTGCTGAAAAGCAAATTGTGACTGCTAATCCAGATATAAATACTGTACGTATTTTTTTTTTTTCCATTGTAGTTAATTTGTTATGACATTGTTTTCCTAAAAATAATGGATGCTGATTATCTCTGGGGATATAAATAAGAAGAAAAACAGTAATTGACATCATAAATCAATGAAACATTTATTGAACTATTTTGCTTGGCTACATCTACATGAAACTGGTTTTGCCATTCTACTCTATCAACGCCACAAAGCAAATATATATTTACTTGTAAATTGTTTGTTGGCAAACATATATTTCTCTCCTGTAAATTTTTCTCTTACAGATAGATTTTGTGTTTTATTACACATCTTAATTAGTTTTTGTACTGTATAAATTAAGTTGGTACTGCCATGGAGAGGTTGAGAGAGGGTGAGAATGGAGCGGAGGGAGATGGTTCATCTGTGTGTCGAGGAAGTTTCTTTAGTTTGTTTTAGGAAAACTCTATTCATACATGAAATTCATACAAAAACTCCACAAGAATTATGTGGGAATGCCATTCTTGTAAACAAATTTATCTTAATGGGTGTTTTGTTTTAAAGTGAAATGTGGGTATTGAGTCACATCATGATGTATGAAAATTCTGTATAAATTTTCTACTTGTTTATCATTACTCTTAGTTTTTAAGAAGCACAAAAAACACAATTGAGTTTGGTTCTCATTTTCTGTTCGATATATAGTCATATTCATTTTTATGTGCAATTGAAGATTTGAGGTTACTAAAGATTTTTTTATCAAAAATTGATCTTTAAACTAATTGATCTATTTTCCATTCATGTTCAGGTTTTGATTGGATTTTGAAGCATAGAAATATTGCTGTAGTACTTTTTCTATTTAAACAATTGGATTATCCTTTTGTGTTGTACTACTGTTCTATTCATGATTGGCTAGAAATTTAATTGATTTTATTTTTGTTGGATATTTTTAAATGCTTGCATCAGTTGCACCTAATTCTTGTTTCTCCAGCATGTATCCCTGAATATAGGTTGTTTGGTTTTTGAACTTTGAATCATTAAAATTACCTGAAGTTGCTGATGTGATTTGTTTGTCTCCCCTCCCCGCCCCCCCCCCCCCCCCCCCACCCACCCAACCAAAAGGAAGTAAATACACAAGCTGCTGGTGGTTGGTTTCTTTCTTTGAAAACTATTACACAACCCCCCCTCCCCCCCCCCCAACAAAAAAAAAAACCAACAAAACAAACTCTACAAGAATAATTTGGCAATGCCATTTTTGTAAATAAACTCATCTTCATGGGTGCTTTTAGTGAGTGGTCCACATTTAGCCGCATTATTTTGTATGAAAATTTTTGTTTGGATTTCTGTTTGTATATCATTACTCTTCCTTCTTAGGAAACATTATTTTCCCCAATATTTTGATATTTATTTTATTTTTTAAATAGGTTGAGCTTTGTGATGATGACGATTTTATGGTGCTGGCCTGTGATGGTATCTGGTAAGTATCTTATGGTTTCCTATTTAAGTTTTATTTTTTAGGTACTATACTACCCTGCTTCCTTACTTTCGGTTTCCATTTACACTGGCATCCCACGAGGTTTGTTGCCATTAGTACCCAAGGTTCTGGAAATTACATCCCCTTCTTGATGTTTTGAGTAGTAATACAATTTTGCCCCTCCGTTATTGAACAGTTAGGTCAACTAACAGAATGTGCAGATGTGAACACTTAAAATTTTGGAAAAAACAAATAACAAATTTGACCTTAACCCAAATTTGACCTTAAAATTATGCGAAAACCAAACTTGACCATCCAAATTTAACCCTATAACATCTCTCTGTCTTTCAATCAAACACCTATTGTACATATTCAATCCACCCAAATTCATCACAAACCATGGCTGGCACACCTTCTTACAATTCCACAGAGCAACCAGAAAACTCAACAACTCATATTCTGATTAGCAAACCATAACAATAAATTCACATTCTCACATTCCCTAAAAATTCCTGCCTTCCAAGAGCCACATAATTACTTGAAATTAATACATAAGCTGCACAGGATTGAGGCTCCAGTTAAGTTTTCTAGCTTCTTTTCTTTTTAATTCAAAGTCTCCATGAATCCTGCCAAGTGTAGTTTGCTATTGGGTTTTGTTCGAAATGGTATTCTCAGGATGCAAGTTGGGGAAAAGGGAGAGGGCATTGCATAAGGACACAATGTGATGTTGCCTTATTCATTCATGACTTTAGGTGTTGTTTCAAAGTGAATATAGGATGGTCAGCTCCAGTGAGCATCAGTGGTTAATTCCCAATCACTCTGGCCACAGCCACAGCCACTACCCATAACCCATGCAACATAACCATATGTTGAGCTTGGGGCCTGGGGGTGTGCTCTCTCCAAGTCTCAGGTTCAACTCCCAGTAGGTGCCATCAACTCCTTAGGGCCACGCCCGCGTGCTCTGCTCGAGATTTGCCAGATCCATGTGGAGGGGGTGCTTTGCGTGGGTCTCAGGATCAGTCGAGGTGCACGTAAGTTGGTCTGGATGCCCGGCCATAAAAAAAATAAAATAAAATAAAATAACCATACGTGCAATGACCATAGCTGTCACTCATTCCGTTAACCTTTTTCACTCACCCACTGTTCCACTGTTGTGAGTCTTGTGACCATAGCCACTGATATAGTGAAGTTCCAGGTGTTGAAATCTGGGTTAAGGAGGTTCGATATAAGACTAATATTGTGGGTCACCATTGTGGGTGTTTGTGTGGATGGGCGATGGTAGCAATGGGAAGTGGTAGTGCATGTTGGTGGGGTGGGATGTGTCTGGCTGATTAGGTGAGAATAGAGAGTGCAAATGACGGAGATGGAGGAGGTAGAAAGAGAGAGGGGACATTTATGGCAACTGTTCATTTTCTTTTACTTCCATTAATGGACAAGCAGAGGCAGGGGAGGTTAGTGTTATTTCCAAAATGTGAAAGCAGAATTTGTATTAAGCACATAACTTAGGAGATGTCCGTGTATCTTACCCAAAATTTTTTAAATTGCGTGTTACAAGAAAGTGGTTCCTCAATCGATCTGAAACTGTCTAACAATAGCCAGATTTGCAGATTTTTACTTGTGCTCATCAACTAATTGATTATAATTGCATCCCAATTATTTTGAGAGGCACACCTTCAACTAATGTAATTGTGTGGTTTGTTCAGGGACTGCATGTCAAGCCAGGAGCTAGTGGATTTTATACATGAAAAGTTGATCACTGTAAGTGTCTGATATCACTCTTTGTTAACACAGTTGAACAGCTAGTAACTGTGGTTGTATAGGTGTAATAAGATATGTTGTGTGGTTGTTCTTGTAGACAGTACTTTCAAGAGGATTTTTTCGGTTATGCACTTGCGGTCTTGGTCACATGATGAAAGTAGAAAATGCTCAGCAAATTGCTTTTGACTTTGGAATAAGTTGCCTTATAGAATAAGATCGAAAATGCTTTTGTTATACATTGGGGTTGTCGCTGCCTTGTAAACACTTGATTTTTTTTTTTAATTTTTTGTTATTGTTATTGTTATTGTGCAGGAAAGCAAGCTTTCTGTGGTATGTGAAAGAGTGCTTGATAGGTGCTTGGCGCCATCGACAGCAACTGGTGAGGGATGCGACAATATGACTATGATCATAGTGCAGTTCAAGAAACCCATCGACTCTAGTGCTGCTGCACTGGAGGAATCATCATCCTCAACTCCCAATGATCAAGCAGATGCTGAATCAAATCCAGCTGAGACTCTGTCAAGCTACTGACTGTCATTTATCCATGTGTCAGAGATCCTTTTGACTGGAGCTGTAGTTACGAGAAGAACGAAGAATCCCCAATTTCTTGCTGAGGACTTGGGACTCAGGTTAGGATGTCTGTTGTTTTAGATGATTTGGCTGCTTGTAAAGATGGGGATCAACTATGAATTAAGATTTACTTTTTGTGCTGCCCTTTTCTTTTCCCCACGTTTCGTACAATTTTGCAATTGCAATTTTACTTGTACAGAAGATCTTTTAACCGAAGTTTGTTTAAATGTTTCATCTAGGGTTTTGTGTCACTTGATTGTCTCATTGATTGCAGGACGTCGATTTATGTTCTATTTTCGTCATTGCATGCTGGTTGGCCGGCTTTGATAACATCTACTTTTATTGTTATCTAGTCTGTGACCTAAGTACTGGCTGTAACTCCCAGTCTAAATAAGTTTCAATTTAAAATACTTGGTTATATTTGATTTGTCCATTTCGAGGTTGTCTTCGAAAGTGAAAATGTCTTCACAAAGACTAGAGTTTAGGGTATTGTTATCTGTCGGTTTATGATGTAGTCTTTATGATGTCATTTGCTCCTCAAATATCAGCTCTAAAATATTAAGTTGTTAAAAAGGGTGACTGATTTTTGTTACCCTATTTTGAGCAACTTTGGAAGTATGGTAAAGGGGTTTGTGTTGGAATGAATCGACAGGGATGTTTTATGTTTCGGTGGTGTTACATGTACCAATTAATGTACATACTAGTGTACTAACTAGTGTTATGTCATTATTACTGATTTCACTTATTAAATAAATTACAAATATTTAAAATTTTTAAAATTATGTCACATCATTTGTTAGTATACTAGTTAGTACATTAATTGATATATATATTATTATTCTTTATGTTTTAGTTGTTTTTGATACACGTGGTTTACGGATGACTTGGGGTATTTGTAATCTACTCTGCATAATTGGGTCTAATGTGACCCTCACTTGGGAGGTTTAACTTTTTAATTCAAATAATATATTCTTGTTGAAATGGGAGATTTGGTTGCTATTTTCAGAGGTTTTTTTCCCAAATAAGTCAAAATATTAAGTTATTTTTCAAATTAGGCTTAGTTTGGACAAAATTTTTAAAATAAGTTAAAATGTGGTTATAAACGACGCTTTAACCATTTTTGTGGCCTTGAAAATTTTGTAAAATTACAATACCGTGGTTACAAATCATACTTTTAATTAAGAAAGTATGATTGCAAACCACGTTTTTAAGGAAATCTGTTTTTGTGAAGAAAGCATGGTTAGAAATCACGTTTTTAAATAAAATTGTTTTGTAACCAAAATATAAGATAAGTAGGGAGGTAGCTCAAATGGTAGTGCTTTTCATAGAAGAGGCATGGGATTCAATCCCTTACATCTCCAAACTCTTGCTTTTTTCAAATTCAATTCAATTTTCTTTTTTTTTTCTCCTTCCACTTACTCTATACTTTATATATTTATTATGTAATTTTTTTTATAAAAAAAAGTAGAACATTTGTTTGGTTAACTAATATTTATAATAAAAATTATATTTAAAATAAAAAATAATTTTTTTTAAATTTTTTAATATTTAAAATATTAAAAAAATATAACACATAAATGTATGAAATATAATGCACATTAAAATAAATAAATAAATATTTATGTGTTGTATTTTTTTAATATTTTAAATATTAAAAAAAATATTTTTTGTTTTTTATTTTAAATTTATAATTTTTATTTTCAATATTTTTTTATTTCAAATATTTTATTTTATTTTATAAATATATTTTTAAATATTTTAATTTTTTTGTTATGTGTTTGGTTACAATTTGAGTGTGGTGTTTTGAAAGTAGTATGAAATTTTGAGTTATATGTTTAGTTATGAGTTTTGAAAATAGTTTTTTAATTGAGTTTTGAATTGTGCGTTTGGTTACGATTTGAGTGTAAAGTTGTGTTTTGAGTTCAAAATAGGGATATTTACCAATAAATCTTATCTCACAAACAGTTTTACCGATTGGTCCTAAAGTTATTTATATTGTTCTTATTAGTCCTATTAGTGGGGAAATATCTTACCACACACTACTTTCAAAACTCTACACTCAAATCGTAACCAAACACATAAGAAAAAAAATTAAAATATTTAAAAATAATAAAATAAATATTTATAATAAAAATTATATATTTAAAATAAAAAATTTAAATTTTTTAATATTTAAAATATTAAAAAAATACAACACATAAATATTTATTTATTTATTTTAATGTGCACTATATTTCATACATTTATGTGTTATATTTTTTTAATATTTTAAATATTAAAAAAATTTATTTTTTATTTTAAATATAAATTTTATTATAAATATTAGTTAACCAAACAAATGTTTTACTTTTTTTGATAAAAAAAATTACATAATAAATATATAAAGCATAGAGTAAGTGGAAGAAAAAAAAAAAAGGAAAATTGAATTTAATTTGAAAAAAGCAAGAGTTTGGAGATCTAAGGGATTGAACCCCATGCCTCTTCTATGAAAAGCACTACCATTTGAGCTACGTCCCTACTTGTCTTATATTTTGGTTACAAAACAATTTTATTTAAAAGCGTAGTTTATAATCACGCTTTCTTCACAAAAACAGATTTTCTTAAAAGCGTGGTTTACAACTATACTTTTTTAATTAAAAGCGTGGCTTGTAACCACGCTTTTACGATTTACAAATTTTCCGACAGGGCCACAAAAATGGTGAAAGCGTAGTTTGTAATCACATTTTAACTTATTTTAGAAATTCCGTTCAAACTAAGCCTAATTTAAAAAATAGCTTGGTATTTTGACTTATTTTGGGAAAAACAGCCTATTTTCAAATCAAAATGAGAAGGTTGGTGTCATAAATTCGATAATGGGGAAATTTTTTTTTTTTTTGAACTCCAACCATTGTCGGAGGCAACTAGTTGATGAGATGATACAAGGTTCATTTTTGCTGAGTACACATAGCTCATGCGTTCTTTTCAATAGAGGCTTTGGTTTAGGAGCACTATGCATTAAAAAATTTGATCAAAACTCCATTATAATAAAAAAAAAAAAAAATTGCATTAAGGATACACGCATAAACTTTGCCTGGATAAGATTATTACATATCATTATTATTAAAATATCCTTAGTGTCTAATTTTATATTTTAAATTTTAAAATGATATAACTTTTGATTAAGATGTCCATCTAAAAAATTACATTTTTATCACTTGAATAGCACACAATATATATACTTTTAATTTAAAATTAAAATTTATATTTTATAGATTTAATAGCACATCCATTGAGTGAGCACACAGACACTAGTATATACATATATATTGGTAGAGTTGTTATGTAATCGCAATAAATAGAGACTTGGCATATATTATGCTAGTGGATGACACACGTGATGTGTGTGCAATTCAGATAAGTAAGAATAAAAACAAATAATAAAAAAATTAATATCATAATATATAAGTTGCTTAAATGGTAAGTGTGTTTTTAATGAAATATAAAATTTTTGGTTCAAACCTTACTTACGATATAGTATAATAATTTTTTTCTTTTAGTATATAAAAATTTGTCACGTGGCATGAGGAGAAGGTTTGGAGGTTTTGATATTAAGTTTAGTATTCACGTATATAATAGTACTAGTAGGTTGCTCGTGCATTGCACGTGGTTTTCATCAAATCTAATATATGTAATGTAATTAATTTTTAAAAGTCCTTGTTATTTGTATTTGTTCTTGTAATATAGAAAATAAACTTTAGAATAGACTGAGTATACTAACAATGCACTCCTTTGTAAGAATATTTTATAGACAATTTAGCAAAATGGTGAACAAAATATAACATATATATAAACTTTAAAAATTATAATAAATAAATTCTTAAATACAAAATGTTACCAAAGAGAAGAAAAAAGAAAAAAGAAGACAGAATAAAGAGTTTTTGGAACTAGTCCTGTGTAGTGAATGTCCTCTGTAATGAGAAAGATAACATTATTTATAAGAATCATTTATGTTTTATGCAAAAATTGTATGAAATTTGTTTTGTAAGAAAATGAAACTTAATTTTTCGATCCATATAGAAATTGCATAAGTAATTTATTGATATTTATAGACCCATTATTTTGTGTGTATTCAATTTCATTGTCAATTTACATTATCAAAATCTTTTATACGAATCATAAGTAATTATATGTTAAAATTTATCAAGAATTAATGTAATAGACTTCCTTTTGCACCATTAAGTTCTGATCATGATGGTTAGCTATCATTTGATTTATCTCTTTTATTATTGTCAGTAATATGTATATTCGAATAGAAAGTACAAAATTATAATTTTTTTATGTAATCGTATTGAACCACGAGAGAGAATGAATTTTTTTTGTCTTGAAGGCCAAGGCTGTTTATATAACAAACTCGGCATGTTTTTTTTTTCTTTCTTTTAGATAAATAAAAGCATGCCGATTGTAAGTTGTAATCCATGCATTGATTTGAGTCTAAATTTAACTCCTTTTACATCATGTTATATATAGTGACCATATTTTTTTGGATCAATTTGATAGGTGATATAAACAGAGACATATTCAATTGAAAATAATATATTAACAAAACACTATTTGGTTTCAAACTCCAACAACAAACTAACTTTTTAAATATATATATATATATATATATAGAAATTAAAATAATAATAAATATAATAAATAAATAAATAAATAAAGAAGCTTTCAATCTTTTTGGTAACTATAAATAAATTCAAATTTTGAATTTCAATTGGATTATATAATAAATTATATATTTGTAAATGATTAAATTTGGGAGTCTAATTTCTCATTCACTTTTTGAATAAATAAATATTTTTTTGCAAAGGTAGTTATTGTATCGTGGTTTCAAGCGAACTTGAAATCCATCTCGAATCCAATTTTTTGGAGAGCATTGAAAAACTCTCTGACCAGTCACGCCAAAGAGGTACTGCTCATCGGTAGCGATGTGGTACTTGCCATAATAGCTCTTGAATCCGATGACGATGTCGATATCATCACCTCTAAACCTCGCGACAGCCCCTTGCCGTTGATAATCACCTTTCTCTCTTGCACAAATTCCTCTCCACTCACTCACAACCAAGTTGTCTCCACTCGTCACAACCTATCAAGACATCTCACTTTTACTTGAGATCTGAACTCCAACCATTGTCGGAGGCAACTAGTTGATGCAATTTCCTTCAGCAACTTCTGATGCATGTCATGACCACTATATTCTAGCTAATCTTATCAAGTA